AGGCCATGGTTCTCAGTCGGAAAAGGGTGGCTTGTTCCCTTCAGGTTGGTGGAGAGTTCCTGCCTCAAGTGGAGGAGTTCAAGTATCTTGGGGTCTTGTTCACGAGTGAGGGAAGGATGGAACGGGAGATTGACAGGTGGATCGGTGCAGTTTTTGCAGTAATGCAGTCGATCCGGTCCGTCGTGGTGAAGAAGGAGCTGAGCTGTAAGGCGAAGCTCTCAATTTACTGGTCAATCTACGTTCCGACTCTCACCTATGGTCATGAACTTTGGGTCATGACCGAAGGGGCAAGATCCCGTATACAGGCGGCCGAAATGAGCTTCCTCCGCAGGGCGGCTGGGCGCACCCTTAGAGATAGGGTGAGGAGCTCGGTCGCCCGGGAGGAGCTCAGACAACATGGCAGCCTCAATAATAGGAGACCGGTTTCTATTACCCTATTAGACCTGTTCTGGATATAAAAGGCTCATTCTAAGCTACAGAAAATGCAACAATTCTTATTTGCCGATGATTACACATTAAGGAAAACATAATTATGCATACTATGGCCTATTTCTACTCAGAAATCCTTCTAGGTTTTACAAACTGAGATTTTAAATCCTCTGCTCTGACTAGACACCTTTTTGACATATCAGCTGTACTATGTACTGCTGCGTATACCAACAATCTGTTTGCATCATTTGACTGTAAAAACATAGGGCAGACCAAGAGGTCCCAGTGGTGAAGCCACAGCGACGTGGTCGCCCCCTCGTGGCTGGTTGCAGAATAGCTTATAAATCCCGCCTCCTCCATATTAGTGGACGGGACATGAGACAAACTAAAAACTGTAACCAATTTAAGTTTATATGTGATTTAGTTAAACGTATCAAAAAAAAAGATCTGTTAAACTCGAATTTTTAGTTATTAGTGATGTTAGACATCTAGGTAGGATGTTATATGAGGTTCTCTTACATCCGCAAAACAAATATAAAGTTAATGGACACATGTTTTTGTATTCTTCATTGATTTTACCATACTTAGAGTATGGCGTTGAAAACTGGGGAAACACATACAAAAGCTCACTTCAACCACTGTATATATTACAAAAAAGAGCAATAAGAATTGTGCACAAGATGGGGTATAGGGATCACACCAATGTAGCTTTCATACAGTCTAAATTGTTAAAATTTTTTGATTTAGTGGGATATAAGACTGCTGTGTTTATGTATAAAGCCAGGAACAATTTATTACCTGGTGGAATTCAAAAACTATTTAATGAAAGGGAAGGGGGATACAATTTAAGGGGTCAGTTAAATTAAAAAATTAATGCTATACGTACAACCAAAAAAAGATTTTGTATTTCCATAAGTGGGGTAAAACTATGGAATAATCTAAGTGTGGACATAAAAAATAGTAATAGAATTGACGAGTTTAAACATAAATATAAAGGTATGTGTCAATCAAGATATATGCAAGAACAGGTTTAATGATTAATTAGATGGAACATTGTGGGTGTGGGGTATGAATGTTAACACTTTGTAATAATTCTTTAGTATATTATGATATTAACATTAAACATGATGATATGTTTTTAAAAATAGCAACTGTTTTTCAGAAATAATTCTGGACTCTGTCTTACAGGAGAAGAATTGCAGAGAAGGGCTCATCACCTGAACCTGACCAGAGATCAGTAAGTACCATTAGATCCTTCTTGTCTGCTGTATTCATGGGGTAGGACTGGATAAGTCTGACTTCTTCCTACTCCATTCAAGCATGTACTAGGTATAAGCAAATTGATATTGGATTAGCATTTGTTGGATATGTGTAAAATTATGTGTGTTGACATATCAACTGTCTTTACATGCTTGAAAGAATAAATCAAATCAAAAATGTTTAGAAAGGCAAGAGGTTCTTAGTTCATTTAACACATTTAAATTCCCTGGAAACCTAGTGCCTGACTAGGGACTCTTTGATGTCTTATGTGTTATGATGAATACCCTCAAAATATCGACAGCTTTGGCCATATCACCGACGTCTCTTGTCTAACTTGTGATGTTACCGTTAACCCCAAAGACATCAGTCATACAACATGAACGAAAACCTTCTCCGGATTGATCGGATGACATCCTGAACTCGGCATTTAACTAATCAGCAAAATTCCAAGCTTTATCCTGCATCGAAAGGCACAATTGTGGCTGCATGGCTAATGGAGACCAATTTAAGCATCGATGTATTTAAGTTAGCCAAGATACAATAATTCATTTGGAATTATGTGGCATCCGTAATGGTAACGTCAACGTACGGTCGATTTTAACAAAAAATCTGTAAATTCGTTTAAGGCACTGGTTAAAAAACCTAGACGTTTATTATGAATAAAGTGTGTGTTAATTTGGTAGTTAGCTAACCTTGATCACCCAAGTGAAGTACCTTTGAAAGCAAATTTTGTGGATAACTTATTGGCTCTCGGCGGGCCCAAATTGCTAGCTTGCTAATCATAACGCTAGCGCTCGCTAGTTTGCAGAGAGAACGAAACTCGCCATTGTCAAAACCAGTAAAAATACAAGTTTGGACATTTACCCCCTTGATCAATTTAACGACCGAAATGTTTCCCAGTAGGCTACGTTTCGTCAATCCAATGCTTCTTGCCTTCCTCCGTCGCCGGTGTGTCTGTGCCAGTGTGTGATTTCTGCTGTATCAGAGACAATATGGCTGACCACCACCTACGTCCCTGAGTATGGCAACGGAAGCCTTTGAGGACACTTCAAATTCGCAGACGGTACCGCAAAAGTTTAATTGAACGCGTTCTGAGGCCCAAAGGTGGATATAGCGGTAAAAATGTAGCTAAACTACTACAAATGTGTACTGAGACTTTTAAGTGTACTAACAGGTGTAAATATAGATAACTGGAAACCTGGTCTGATTAGTAGAGATGGCATCCATCCCACTTTGGGTGGTGCGGCTCTCATATCTAGAAATCTGGAAGAGTTTATTTTACAACCTGAACTATGACAACCCAGAGTCGAGTCCAGGACGCGTCTCTGCTGTCTCTTTGCAGCTGCTACCCGCCCAAAACTCTCAGTACCCCATAGCGACTGTGTCTGCCCCCCACCCACCTAAATTATATAAATCATAAATCAACTCCAGAGGAGTTATTCATAAGAAGCTAATTAAAATTAAGATGACTCCTCTTATAGTAGAAAGTAATAGGACAATCAAATGTGGACTATTAAATCAAACCTTTCTCGTCTAAATCTCTGTTAGTGAATGATTTGATAAGTGAACATCACATTGACTTATTGTGTCTTACTGAAACGTGGTTACAGCAGGAAGAATATGTCAGTCTAAATGAATCCACTCCACCTAGTCACAGTAACTGTCACATCCCTCGAATCACAGGCCGAGGTGGTGGCGTGGCAGCGATCTTTGACTCAAGCATATTAATCAAACCCTAGACCTAAACATAGTTATAACTCATTTGAAAGTCTCACCCTGAGTCTCTCACACCCAAACTGGAAAACTCAAAAGCCAGTTCTATTTGTTATTCTTTACCGTCAACCCGCTCCTTATTCAGAGTTTTTAAGTGAATTCTCAGACTTTCTGTGTGATTTAATGCTTAGTACAGATAAAATAATCATAGTAGGCGACTTTAATATTCATGTAGATGCTGACAATGACAGCCTCAACAATGCATTCTGTTCATTGTTAGACTCAGTTGGCTTTTCTCAAACTGTAAATAAACCCACTCACTCTTTTAATCACACTCTTGATCTTGTTCTGACGTATGGCAACGAAGCTCAACACGTTATAGTTTTTCCCCAAAACCCTCTTCTGTCTGACCATTTTCTAATAACTTTTGAATTTACATTAATGGATTATACTCTATGTGGGAAACAATTCCACTACAGTAGATCACTATTTGACAATGCTGTTACAAAGTTTAAAGAAATAATTCCATCATTATTTACTTCAGTGCCATTCGCCTTTGTAGTACCAGAACCGCATTTTATTCATCACTGATTGAGGAAAATAAGAACAACCCCAGGTTTCTTTTCAGCACTGTAGCCAGGCTGACAAAGAGCCACAGTGCTGTTGAGCTTAACATTCCCTTAGATCTCAGCAGCAATGACTTCATGAGCTTCTTTACAAATAAAATCACAACTATTAGAGAAAAAATGGGTCGAACCACTCCCACAGCTCTCGCAGATGTGCCATCTACTACAATGGCTTTAGAAACATCTGTAAGACCTCATTTATACTTGGACTACTTCTCCCCTATAGATCTCTCTGAGTTGACCTCAACAATTGCTTCATCTAAATCATCAACATGTCTCCTGGACCCCATCCCGACCAGGCTGCTCAAAGACATCTTTCCCCTAATCAACACATCCATACTAGATCTGATTAACCTCTCTCTATTAACAGGCTATGTGTCATGATTCGGTCCAGCTTTTATTTTGACGTTGCTTCCTGTTTTTGTTTTCACCTTAGTTTCGGTCTTTTTACGTTCTTCATCACTCGCATTAGTTTCGCCTGCTCCTTATTGTTTATACCTCTATTTAGGCAGCGTCCTCCCACAACGGCGCTGCCAGATTGTTCTAGACCGCAGCTCTGACTCTCCAGCTTTCCTTCGGTTTTGTATCTTGTGTTTCTGACCCGGACTGTTACCTTGGTATATTCGTTTCTGCTTTGCCCTCTTGTCTCAGACTGCCACAGTGTATGATATCGGACTTCCCTCTGGACTACGTATTTTGGATCACCTCTGTTGGATGTGTTTGCTGGCTCTGACCTCAGACTGTTAATAAGGACATGTGAGTTTTGTGTTTTCACCGTGTCTTGTATGTTTTTCTTTCGTTCGACGTTATACACTTC